CCTTTTCAATGATCTCAATGGCATGGCATAAGGTAAAGACAGCGGGGTGAATCATTCCAATGGTTCATTTCTCTAGTCATCAAATATATACAATTACCTAATAATTCAGTCTGTTTGCAATTTGCAGCTGGAGAATGTGGCCGTTTGCAAAATGCAACTCATTACAGTTTCAAGCAAATTGCTTCTAAAAAAAAGGGAGTTTAGGAACCTCTTTAGTAGAGGCTGGTGAGCATGTAGAACTCATGGAGCAGGTGGTTGAAACAGAAAGCATTTAAGAAGAAACTCGATATATCCCTGAGAAAGAAGAGGATGTAAGGGTTTACGACAGGTACTGCTAGGGGTTCATATGCAGTATAAATACATTCACAGAGTAGGTGGGCCAAATGGTCTGTTTCTGTGCTGTAGAAACTATGACATCCTAGGACAGGAGGAGAGCAGTCACGAGCAATGCCACAATCCTGGAGACAGTGATTTTTTGAGAAAAATGAGGGAGACTTGCCATGCTTAGTGAATCCATGCTAAATGTATGTTTGTTAATACAAAGATTTCCAAAGAATGTACAGCACGTAAACAGACCATTCAGGCCAACCAGTCCATGCCACTGTTTATACTCCACATGAGTGAAGATTATTTTGTTTTCTGCATGTCCCTACGCCTCCATGCCCCTCTGTATCACATCATGTTTCTTCCCACTCTCTGCCTTATTAGTTTAAATTCTCCTTTGCAGCCCATACACTCCACTACACATAGTATAATAATAATATAACAATAATAATCCTTGCATTTGATATAGCGCTTTTCACGTCGGGAGGACGTCCCAAAGCGCTTCACAGAACACACTGTAAAGTGAATTGACTGTATATTTATGGTATAAGAAATGAATGGTGAATCAATCATCGATTAAAATTAACAAATGACTTTACAGCATCATTGCAGATATAGGACTCTGTTTCAGATGTTTCCTTTTGATTCTGAAGAACTTGAGCCCACGTTTCCCATAGCTAATGACCTGGCAATGTAGTCCAGCACGCTGTTCACTTTTTTTTATTGCATCTGCGCACATCTGCTTTCTACATGTTGGTGAGTGGCAAGTCAACTAACATTTCAGTCCACTTTCAAAAAGCCATCTAACGGTCTTTCACGCAGTTATAGATATGTGAAACCAACTTCCAACAAAAGCTGTGGAAGTTGATTCTGTGTCACTTAACTCCTTCAAAAAGAACTGAATAGGTACTTGAATGAGAATGCTCCTTTATGTATTCCCACAATTTAATGATCTATTACACCCATTTCCTATTTTATAACCAGTGCCCCTGACAAGTTGCTAACAGTACTGCATTATATAATAATAAAATAATCCTTGCATTTGATACAGCGCTTTTCACATCGGGAGGACGTCCCAGAGCACTTCACAGAACACACTGTAAAGTGAATTGACTATATATTTGTGGGCGAACGCGGCAGCCAATTGCGCACAGCAATGTCCCACAAACAGTCGTAGATTGAGAATGAACAATTTAATTATTGTTTTTAGTTTTTGGAGGGATTATTATTAGGCGTGTGGAGTAAGGAAACTTGCCCAAGGTTTCGCCCTGCCTGGAATTGAACTCAGGTCTCTCACTTGCAAAGCGAGTGCTCTAACCACTGAGCTATAGGACTCCACGAAGTCCTTGATCATATATAGAAATGATCAAGGCCCATTATTCCAATTGGGCAGAATGTCCTGACTACAGTTGCTGGAGCTTAGGGAAATAGGACCACCAGCATTTTCAACTGGGCTGAGAGGTAGTAAACAACGCATTGCATTTATAAAGCGTTCTTTGTGGAGCAAAGTGTCTCAGAGTACTTCATGGTGATGGTGTTGGATGCCAAGCAAAGGGGAAGGTGGAGGTGACCATAGGTGAGGTCGAGTTGGATGGGTAAAAGGGGCATTCTGGAGGGATTGAAGAAGGGAGTTCCAGAGGTAAGGGGGATAGTGGCTGAAAGCACAGCTACCAATGGTGGCACAGAGGGTTCGAGGGATGTGGAGAAGACTGTGTCAGTTGAGCAAAAGGGCAGGCAGGGGTATGTCGTATGAGCTGGTCAGAAAACATAGGTGAGGGAAGGATCGTGAAATCAGTCCTTTCGAAGACAGGGAGCCAGTGGAGCTTATCGAGGATTGGGGTGATGAGCAAGCAGAGTTTGGTACAGGTGAAAAGAGTGAAGAGGAGACCCCTTGATCCAGAAACATGTTTTAGGTTATCGTTGACCTGGGCCAAATTTTTGTTCTGTTTTATATCGCTTTGTGAAATTTCTCGCAACACCATCACTGTTTTCTATAATTATCTCAGGATGTGGGAGACCCTGGCAAGGCCAACATTATTGCCCTCCCCAAGGATAATAGATCTTCTCTTTGTTGCAGTCCTTGTAAAGATGGTGCTCTTACAATGATGTTACAATGATACATATTTCAGGATTTGTTTCTGCAATGACAAAGTAAAGACAGTGTATGTTCAACAACAACAACAACAACAAGATTCCATTTATAGAGCGCCTTTCACGTCAGGAGGACGTCCCAAGGCGCTGCACAGTTGGGTCATGACCCGAGCAGGGGGGGAATGGTCAGGGTGAGGGGAGGGAAGGGAGGGAGCAAGGAGGGGGAAATGGTCAGGGTGAGGGGAGGGAAGGGAGGGAGCGAGGAGGAGGAAGAGAGTCGAGAGGGGATGTTCAAGATAGGATGGTTAATAATGTAAGAGGGGAATCCTGAGATTCTGGTGATGTTCCAATGATTGTTTTCCTGTGAGTTGGAGGTGGCAAGGCTGGAAGGTGTTGTTGAACGAAGGTTGGTGATTTGCTGGAGTGTATTCTGTACATATTCTAGTCACTTTGCATCCCTGGGTTTTAAAAGAGGTGGCTGTAGAGATAGTGGATACTTTGTTTTCGATCTTCCAAAATTCCCTGGATTCCCTGCAAGAAGGTGGCAGATGGATTATATCATGGGAAAGTGTGAAGTTATTCACCTTGGTAGTAAAAATAGAACAGCGGATTATTTTCTAGACGGGGAGAGATTAGATAATGTCAGTATTCAGAGGGATTTGGGTGTCCTTGTACACCAGTCTCAAAAAGTTAATATGCAGGTACAGCAAGAAACTTGGAAGGCTAATGCCATGTTAGCGTTCGTTGGATAGAGTACAAGAGTAGGGAAGGCTTGCTGCAGCTGTATAAGACCTTGGTGAGACTCCACCTAGAATATTGTGTGCAGTTTTGGTCTCCTTTTAAGAAAGGACATACTCTTCCTTAGAGGTGGTGCAGTGTAGAATCATTAGGTTGGTTCCTGGGATGAGGGGGTTGACCTATGAAGATAGGTTGAGTAAACTCTTCTCTAGAATATAGAAGAGTTAGAGGTGATTTTATAGAAACATTTAAGATTCTTAAGGTTCTTGACAGGATAGATGCCATGAGACTGTTTCCCCTGGTTGGAGAATCTAAAACTAGGGGTCATAGTCTTAAGATTAAGGCCCATCCTTTTCAAACTGAGTTGAGGAAACATTTCTTCACTCAGATGGTAGCGAATTTGTGGAATTCTCTACCCCAGAAGGCAGTGAAATTTATTGACCTTGAACATATTCAAGACTGAGGTTGATAGATTTCTAAAGGATAGAGGGATTAAGGGATATGGGCACAGGGCGGGTAAATGGAATTAGATTAGAAGATCAGCCATGATCTTATTAAATGGCGGGGCAGGCTCGAGGGGCGGAATTACCTCCTCCTATCCTTGAAGGAGGGAGGGAGTCATTCAGAGTATCACAAATATCTTTACAGTGAAAAGTGAAGAAACGGTGAAAATTGTAATATTAAGCCTGATGTGGAAATTGAATCTATGTGCTAAAAAAATTGTATTGAATATATATAAGTATATCAACCTGCTGGATAAAATCCCAAATCAATCTTGCAATTAATATCTGAAAAATATGCTTCAATTTATATATTTGTATGTATACATTACTTGAGCCAGCTATACAAAAGTCTCTCACTTACATGTGAACACAATGATTTTGTTAAGAAACAAACCAAATTTCCACCATGTTGTAAACAACTGTGCACATGAAATAATAGAGAACAGCACAAAGCCTTTTGATGTGCACAAATGGCTCTCTTCTGAGCCCAGACATCTGTCTTGCCTGTCCGGTTAGGACAAATTTCCATTGGTCACTCTTTATTATGGCCTCTGTGGAGACAGATTGTTCACTTTCAGTGTAAAATCCTAAGGTTTGGATGAGTTCACTGAGGTTTTTTAAATTGCATTTTAGACAGATTTGGAACCTTTGAAAATGTTGTCTGTAAGATACATAAGTCCCTCTGTACTATACTCTCAGTTATTAGTTCAAAGGCTGAAATAATTCATAGCTACTGAAGGAACTTCAGTTCAGCTGAACAAAATAATTCCAATTTCATTTTCTAAAGTTTAACTGCAGGAGAAATTTATTGACCTCAATCTTGTTCCAACATGTAGTCTGGATTTATAGACCTTAGCTCATGGAAGAATACAGTGATTTGTCACCTTGCTTCCTCTACATCACCTTATCCTTTTTTTCCCCCAGTGCCCATCATTCTTTTAGAAAACCGAATTGTTTTTTTTCCCCACCTCTGAAATCTTTCACATTTTGAAAAAAATCATTATAGTGTGTTTCTTTTGCTGTAGATAATCCCCAAGTCTCCAATACATTTCTGGCTGCTAATGCTCCATAATTTGAGTTCTAGTTCTTGCAGTTTGGTGCCAGTGTTTCCCTTATTCTTATGATTGTAAGTTGCACAGTGAATCGTGAGGATCAATTCAATATAACACATGTAGAACGCAGGTTATCGTAAACTGTTCCATGTGATGTTGGCCAGTCTTAATCCTTCTTCAGCCAAATGTCTCTTGCAATCTTGTCTAAGTGTAATAAGTTCAACTCTCGATGAATTGTTAACCCGTGAGAGATGACAAGCTGAAATAACCGTGTTTTTTCTCTACCTCACAGTGACTCAAGGAGGAGTGGCTCGAGAGCCTGACATGTGCCCTGACCCAGGAGTTCCAGAGAATGGTAAACGCACAGGATCTGACATTAGGTAAGCCAAATAATAATTAAAAGCCTCCAGTTTTGAGGCTGTAAATGTTGAAGCGAATGGTATGCATTCATTACAGAAAGTGTATTTGTAAGGAGATTTTGGTGGTGTTTGTTTCATTATGTATTCCATCATTAGTGGTTCAAATCTTCAACGAAGGGGATAAATCCATAAACAAAATCCTCTAATATACAAACTCTTTTCTCGGCTGGGAGAAGTATGAATCTCAAAAGGGTTTGGAATTCAACAACAAAATTACATTTATAGAGCGCCTTTCACATCGGGAGGATGTCCCAAAGCGCTGAACAGTCAGGTGTCGGGACCCGAGCATGGAGGAGGGGTGGTGTAGAGGTGAGGGAAGGCAGAGAGGTGGGAGGGCGACCAAAGGCACGATCGAAGAGAAGGGTCTTGAGACTGGCCTTGAAGGAGGCGAGGGAGGAAGAGAGGCGAAGGGACCATGGGATGATGTGCAGCGAGAGGGTTGGTGTAAGAGGTGGGTTAGAGGGTGAGGAGTTCAGAGGACGCCAGGTCAGTGGAGAGGGACTGCGGGGAGATTATAAATTAATTATAATAGCTGATAGAACCAAATGAGTTCTAACCTCTCTAGCCTCGAATGACTGTCCACCGCTGTTCCCATTCCCTGTACTACATTATTTGGGGAACATGCAATTATGTTACATGAGTTTAAATGGTATTTAATTTTGTTGTTTAAAATAATAAAAGGAAATAACAAGATAGACAGTAATGAATCTTCCCTCTAGCAGGAGAATCCTGAACAACAGTATCAATAATCTTTCATTTAATATAATAATACTATTAATAATAATAATCCTTTGCATTTGATATTGTGCCTTATCACTACAAAACATGTCAAAGTGCTTTGCAGAGTTTTCTGTAAAGTATATTTGTATTTGTAGGAAAATGTGGCAGCCAATGTGCACAAAGCAATGACTCACAAAGAGCCATGAGGTCAATGACCAACATTTTATTAGAGGGATTTTTGATCAAATGGTACCACAGAATATATAACATATACCTGAACAGGCAGGCAGGACCTTGCTTTAACATTTCATCAGAAGAATAGTACCTCCAACAATGCAGCATTCCCCCAGCACTGTACTAAAGTATCACCTTAGACTATGAGTTCAAACTCCTGATATGGGGCCTGAACCCACGACCTTCTGAATCAAAGAATGCTACCAGCTAAACAAGACTGATACTTGAAAACTACCTTAAAATTAGTGTTAAGTAGTTAAAAGTGAATCCAGGAAACATTTCTTCACACGAAGGGTGTGAAATGTGTTGTCCAAGAAGGACGTAGTTGTATATTCAGTTGTGTTTAAGAGAAAGATAGTTATTTAGAACTTTAGAATATAAAGTGATATGGAGAAGAGGTAGGAACATGGGATTGGAAAGGTGAAGAGCTGCCACAATCTAATAAGCAGATCCAAAGGAGCTGACTCCTATTTGCTTCTTATTTTGCTTTGAAAAGAGCTACAGTAAGTATTTATTTTAGATATGTATCAGATCAGCACTGAGTAGATTGAGTTTAAGGTAATCTGTCAGTAAGCAAAGCTGATTGCAATGTTGATATGATTGCACTTTGAAAACATGGTCAGAGGCAAAACTGCAGAAATTCGTGTAGACATCTAATATCTAAAAAACACTTTATGTGAAAATATCTGATATCTAAATAGTACATACATTTAAATAAAAATATTTCATATGCAAATAGCATCTTACATGCTTGTGTGGAGATCACAGATGCTGGTATAGTACTATTTAGATTTTAGATATTTTATCTGTATATTTTCCCCAGTGCTGTCACAGGTTACATAGCTTTTCTTCCTCCTTTTACTGGAAGAATGGCACATTTTTGACCAACTACTTCCACACAGTTGCAGTCAATATGACTGTTAACCTTTAGTCCCCCATTAGATTCAGCTCCACAGTGCGAGGCTTTGTATAGCAACCTGCCTGATAAATGCCTGATGAAAGCTCCACAAATGCTGAGTTCACATGACAATGTAAACTACTATCTGACATTGTGACCCTTGGGAATCTAAAATAAGTGAAATCCTTATGTTGCCCAATTTGGCATCATGCTCTTAAGTAGGCTCCTGCTTTTGTAAACCATGATTTGTACTACATTAGCTCCCAAGGACACATGTCAGAGTTGGATAAAGAAAGATCCTTTGCCCACTTCGATTACATTCTTCTAAAATACCTACCTTATCATTTTCCTATTAGACGATCAAACTATTTCTTAAAGGTCTGGGTTGGTGGCATCTTCCTCCTTTCCTGCTATGAAGCCATTCATTCTACTCTCTGTGCAAAGAAATCATTTATAGGGTTAATCATAAAATTGCGCTTCATAATAATAATAATAATAATAATAATAATAATCCTTGCATTTGATATAGTGCTTTTCATGTCTTCTAGACGTCCCAAAGCGCTTCACAAAATATACTGTAAAGTGAATTGACTGTCTATTTGTGGGCGAACGCGGCAGCCAATTGCGCACAGCAATGTCCCACAAACAGTCGTAGATTGAAAATGACCAATTTATTATTGTTTTTTTTTGGAAGGATTATTATTAGGCTCTGTGTGGAGTAAGGAAACTTGCCCAAGGTTTCGCCCTGCCTGGAATTGAACTCAGGTCCCTCGCTTGCAAAGCGAGTGCTCTAACCACTGAGCTACAGGACTCCACTAATCATAAAACTATAGACATTTATTGGCCCATCATGTCTGTGCCAGCTCCTTTTAGAGTAATCCTTGCAATCTCATTTACCTGTGGTTACCTCATGCCCCTGTGGGTGACTTCTTTTGTGGTTTTTATCTAGTTCCCTTTTGAAAGTCATTATGGATTCTGCCTCATTCACTGCTCCTGGCAGGGCATTCCATATCCTAACCATTCTGTGAATGAAAAAAATTATCCTCGCTTCTTCATTAGCTGATTTATCGTAAATTGATGCCAGTTAGTTACTGACTTGCCGACCACTTGTAATAATTTCTATCATGTTACTCTGTCAAAACCCCTCATAATTTTAAAGACCTCTATGAGGTCACTCCTCAACCTTCTTTGTTCCAGCATCAAAACAATGACCCTGTGCTCTCTTGTCTTATTTCCTTATTTTATCTGAACGTAATGTTCTATGTTTATCCTTTATGAAGTCGCTATATCCCTTATAATTTCTCCCACTTGGTTCCTGTTCACCCTGCAAGCCAAATCCCTAATGGGTAGAATGTTCCTCTCTGGACAAGCATTGGGAAAGCTTGTCAGGTAGTGCTATTAATGAAAAACTATGTGGTTTTACTGGTTAGACTCCAGCAGTTATCCCCACATACACCCTGGGGTCTCCAAGCCTTGGCTCTTGCCAACCTGTACCTAATACTTTACGGAATTAGGTAAGCAGGATGCATCCCTCCAGGGAGAGAGTGCAGATTCCATTCCAACAAACTCTCTCTCGAATTTCCATGTGTAGGTGGGATGTATGGAATTCTCAATTTGGTTTGGATACTCTTGAATAAAGTGATAGGTTTCCGTGGCTGACTCCCCAAAAAATTCCCCTCTAACACATCTCTTTTCATAACCGAAGAGCCTTCACCTTATTCAGTCGTGCCTTGTAGTTTATCCCTCCAACTATAGGTAACTAAATGGTTCCTTTTTTGAATGATTTGCTGCATTGTCTGTTATCATTATCTGAATTGTCCACTCTGCAATGCATTGTGTTTAGCCCAAGTCTCATTTATTACAATATATTGAAATATCATGATTTGTCAAGAATTATGATTTTACATTAAGATAGCACAGGCCAGTACATATGAAATATGCCACCAGTGGAAAGCTTAATCTAAATGCATGGAACAGCTGTTACAATTGACAAATTAAAGTACAATTAGAAATGTTGCTTAACGCTGGTAAACACATAAAGATTTTAGCACTAAACAAAACTATTTCATGAACATTCATGACAGAAATAAATTCATTCATATTAGCCTTTCATTGCAAGCCTGATTAAGCTTGAAGCTCCAATATGATGCTTAATTCAAAACAATATCAGGCAATGCATTATTCTCATTACTGTAATGTTTATCTGTTCACTGTGCATTTGGATTTACCTCTCTGAATCTTAGGTGTTTTATTTGTTGAACACGAATGTAGCTTTCAGCTCTGGACTGATGCTATGACTGTGGTGGTTCCTTCCCAGCCTGGTCTCATTTCTCCTCTCAGTGTAGGTCAAGAGATTACAGGTTCGCTGTAAAATCCTGTTGCTTAACATCACTGTGAAGCATCCTGCTGTAAAGTGTCACAGGCTGTTTCTGACCTGGTCCGCAGATCTGTCTCCTTAACTACCACCAACAATAACTTGTATTTATACAGTATCTTTCATGTCAGGAGGGGGACTGTGGGGAGGGAGGGACCGAAGGCGCAGTCAAAAAGGACGTGAATCAGTTCCCTGTCCATTTAGATATCTGATGGTTACGGAAGGCTAGTTTTTGTCCAGCAAAACTATGCTTTAGGACTTTGGGTTGCAGGACTGGGTGGGAAGAATCCATGCCTTTAGTGAATGGCCTGCCCCTCCAAGTCGTTCCAATGAGCCAGGGTGGCTTGTTTGGTCATCTTCAATGCCCTGGAGTACTGTGAACCTGTCTGGATCAGGAACCAGACAACAGAGACCTGTACAGAGCATCGACATGATTCCAACATGCTGTTGCCAAGCAGATCACCTTGGCACTGCGTTCATCCACAAGAAGACCCGCTTATGCTCCTAACCACATCACCCCACCCAAAGCATCGCATCCGCAAAATGAAGAAAGCCCTCTTGTCTATTTGATCTCTAGTTTACTGGCCCCACCATACACTGCAATAACACTGAACCATATATTGAACCCGTAATCTTTATGATGGTCCAAATCTCTCATGTTCGTAACCTCAAGATAAATAAGCTTGTGTCAGCTTTTTAGAAAACCATCATCTTAAATTGAGATTTTAGACAATT